GAGTTTCTGCCTATTAGTTTTGCTAATTGCCTGGTGGGATTATTTTTGCCTCTTGCTTTGGAAGGAACTGACCAGGGAACAAGGAAAAGCAACCTAGTCATTGAGAGAGGGGGAAGTGCGTGTGTGACATGAGACATCCCTTTACGGGTACCTAACTGCTCAGAACTTCACAGCTAGGAGAATTTCTTCCTGGTCTTATGCTGGTTTTATACACCTAAAATCAGTAATCCACTGACTTTGATGGGCCAGATGCCCAGCTGGTGCAAATCAGCATAGCGTCATTGATTTCAGTAAAGCTATGCCAGTTTACACCAGCTGAGGATTTGCCCCTACATCTTCAGAGAGCAAGAACCGCTAGGAAATGATTTTATTTTTTCTTGCTTTTAAAGATTACACCATTCAAAAATGAGATTGCTTCTCTCTGTTTCCATTATTTGGCAATGAAGCAGGGACATTCCTTTTTCAATATCTAGCAGTCTACCCCCTACTGCTAATTCCAAAGTTGTATTTTGTTCTTCCCCTTTAGTTGCCTCTGTCACTTTCCGATCACTTCCTGGCACTTCAGAATTTCCCATGTGGTCCTGCATGTTCATTCTTTCGCTGGTGTTATCAGTAATGGATTTTTGTTATTTTTTAACAGCTTTTCAACAGGCCTCTCTCTCCATGGACGATACACAGCGTGGCTGTTGCATCTGCCATTGGAGAATCCTGCAGTGAATGGTTATTTCAGGATTGATGGAAATAATTCATGGCTGGATTTAACTCTAACGTGGGGATCAATACCTATATTGATGAAAGCGCTTGTAGCCAAATACCAGTGCCTGTAGCTCCTTTGCTGTTTGTGCATAATGTTCCCCTGTTGGTGTGAATGAACTGGTTGCATAACAGAGGGGTGGCCCTTCTGGAAGAGCAGAATAAGTTCATTCTTAAATGCATCTGCTTGTAGCATCAGCTGTTCTTTTGGATCAAAATAGATAAATGCTGGACCTGCTTCTTTTCTGATACCTTTGAGCATGAGTTTCTTCTATTTTCACAGACCTGGACAGGTTGGGCTAAATGGGCCAAGTATTGACTCTAGCTCGGAACAATAGTCCTGTGGTCATTCCTTGTTCTTGATCGTAGTGACGGTAGTTTGATCCCACCTGCAGCAATGCTACATCTGGGATGCAGATCACACTTTTCCTTGGCCTAAGATGTGCCCCTTTGTCAGGTGATTTCTAGAGTTTCCCCCAAATATTTGGATGATGTCAAATGACTGCAGCTCTGTTGAGTCTTTCATGTGTCTCATCAGTCTGGTACTGGAATTTTTCTTATGCTGAACTGATGCCAAAAGGTGGACAAAGGAATTTGTCCTGGTTAAAATCAGTCAAAAATAGACTCGCGATGACTCTTCAGACAGTTGAATTGCTTAATACTCTGGCCTTACATCCTGCACTCCGGAGGAGCCAGTTAGTGTACGTGTAATGTGCCAGATGCTCAGCACAGCCATGCTGATTTGCACCAGCTGAGGATCTGGCCCATTGTCTTCAAAGTCTGGCGTAATGTGGACATTATGTTGCTCACCTATGCTGCTGAAGGTCCAGACAGACTGAGTTTGCTTGTTTGGGGCTTTTTCTCTAACTGGTAAATAGCAGTTTGTAAATGACTGTTTGTAGCTCCTGTCATGCTAGTGACAATCCCTGCTTTTACTGCGTGGTCTAATTCCTGCTGGAGGCAATTTCAGTTTGCAAGTGGTATTTTTCTTGGTGTGCTGATGGCAGGGGTGGCTACTGGATCAAGATGAGAGGAATGTTTACCTGAAAAAATATTCAGTTCTTGAAAATGTCGGCATGCTCTGTGAGAACAGCAGGTTTTGTAATCTCAGCTGGAGCTACAAAGAACCCCAATATAATACATTAAAGGGACTGGAAAGCAGCCAGATCTCATCAGCTGAGAATTCCTCCGGCAGGGCAGAACAGAACCCCTGCACCACCACTCAGCCCCAGTGTAAGGGGCATGTCGGGGTGGGGAGGGGCAGTGGCCAGGGTGTGCTGCGCTGTGGCTGTGCTCAGTGGGTATAGGTTACAGCAGCCTGTCCCAGGCGAAGAGTGGTGCAGATGCAATCTGCAAATCAGGGAGCAGTAACCAGCTCCCCTGGGCCTCCCCATGCTGAGCAGATGTCAACTGTGCTCTGCTCCAAACATGCTTCCAGGCCCATAACTGGATGTGACTGAGTGTTTACAGCAGGCTTATAGGTGGCATTTTTCAATCCGCTTTCTAGTTCTTCTGTACCATTGTGCTTAACAGACCTGCAAAGGAGTTACAGGAAATTGGGCTGATGCCCTTTTCTGCTTCTTCATGGTGGACAAATAAAATACCAGGAATGCCAACTCTGGTCTTCTTGGGGATCTTGGAGGATGTGTTCTTACGCCAGGAGCCTCATTCTTATGCCGTAATTAAAGGGGAGAAGGTGCTCAGGCTTTACCAAAGTCATCCTCTCCACTGTGATAATTAGACATTGGAGTTAATAAAAATCAAACCAATCTGAAAGAATGTGAAACAGTCTAACTTGAAGTCCCTCCTTCGCCTCTCCCTTGGGGCCTGAGACAAAGCCTATTTGAGGTCTGTGGAACAACACCAATGGTCTTTGGTTCAGGCACTTGCTCAGCTTTCACCCCATGGGCTCCTCTGACGGCCACCATGTTACTAGATTTCTAATCACTGGGGAGTCTTCCAGGCTTAGTCTTGAATTTCTAGTGTAAAAAAAAAAAAAGCCGAAAAAGCCCTTTATCCATCACAAAGGATCAATAAAAGCCACAAGCCCCCCAGTGATTCATCCTGGGCCCATCACCTATAAGCTGTTCACCTCCACAGCCTGACACATGTTTGTTGGCACGTGGAGGCCGGGGTTTGAAATGTGCAGGGCAGGGGTGTTGAGTGTCTGTCTCACAGTCTGGGTATCTGTGCCTAGCGGGAGATTAGTAGGTGTTTGGCTTGAACATGACTTATTCGTTTCTGAGGCATTGTTAGTGCCTATCAATCAAAAGCTCCCTGCTGTCAGAAACACTGTTCTTGTCACCTGCAGTCTAATGATGGGCCTGGATCTGTGTGGCTCAGGGCTGAGACTTGTGCAAAGCAACGGCTTTTATTACACTTGGCGTAATTTCTGCATTAGCAGGTTTTCTTCCTGCACATTTTCTGTGCCCATGGTGGGAGGAAGGGAGGGTGAAGACTCTGTGGCTTGCTTCAGTCCCTTCAGCAATGGGGACTTGCCAGTGTTTTTGCATGGCTCTTCCTTGCCTGAATGTGCTTCAATCACCTTCCATTCCGGCAGCCATTGCTTTTACCTGGGATTTTGTGACTTCTGCAGGTCTGGAGAAAGCCCCGGCTTTCTTCAGTAGCACCATTTCATCGCTGTCTGTGCAGCTGCTGTCCATAACCGCTTTCATTCACTTCCATGCTGGTCAGGTGCCTCTGTGACTAACTCCTTGCTCTCCAGATTTCCAGCCCATTGTAGGTGCGGGAAGCCAGTCAGATGCTGACGCAAGGGCCTGTTTGAAGCGCCCTAGGAAAGGGCACAGTTAGCAGTGTGCTGCCATTTCCATCTGCTCCTCGCGGACAGAAGGTTGTCAAGTGTGAACACAATTGATAATTGCTGGGCGGACCAGAGGAGCCCTTTCTGTCACACAGTCAGGGGCAGGAGGCGGGCAGCGCCGTTCATTGTGGGCCTGTAGCACCAGGTGTTTATCCTTGTAGCAGGCAAACCCTTTGCTGAGCGGGTCAGGGCGTGGCTTTGCAGAGCGTCATGGGTAGATGCCCTAAATTATTAAAGTGAAAACCTGGGGCAGTTGCCAAAGAGGGGGCAGGGGCACACTTGCCTTTATCCATCCCAGTCAGCCCCATGTCCTCTTTCAGTCTAAACAAAGGACTCAGTATAGTGAAGGACCCGGTGGGGGGGAACCTGTGTTTCTCCTTTGGCATCTCCTGCCTGTGCTCTTCCAGCCCCTTCACTACCCTGTATTCCACCCTGCTCAGAGTCCTGCTATGGGTTTACTCGTCTCCTTCTTGTCTGGGCCTTTCTGCTGCTGGGATTTCTTGGAGCCTCTCGCTCCACACTCGGCTCCTTGCTTTCTTTTCTTTGCCAAGCCAGTGCTGCTGGCTATAGCACCAAGAGCACACTGAGCCCTTGGCAGACCCGTACGATCCATCCCCTCCCCCAGTCGCTCAGTCCCCACACCCCAATCCCCTCTCCTGTGCTTCAAAAGCCTCCTGCTCCTCTACGCAGGGTCCTCCAATACTTTCCCTCTGGCTCCATGGCCCCAAATATTTCTCGCCATGGCTCCAAAGGGGTTTGGAGGTCTGACAAAGTCACCTTCTGCCAGGGTTGAGGGGCCTAGAAGCCCACTGGCAAGCGGATATGTTGCAGGCAGGGAGCGGAGGCCATGCTCCCAGAGGCAGGGTGACTGGCACAGCACTGCTGTTCAGGAGGCCAGGCAGAAAGGTAGGAGGAAAGGGGAGCCAGCCAGGCCAGCACTAGGGGCTGGATCTCTCCGGGTTCCAGTGAAAATGGGAGCGATCCATGTTACAAACATGGGTCAGAAGGCCAGGGTCACCCACTCCAACTAGACGTTCCCCAGCTTTTGGAGAGCATCAACGTCTGGCTAAGCTTTGTAGCCCTGTAACAGGCCAGTTTTCTTAGCCCATGCCTGCAGGAAGTGCATTTTGCACAGCATTCTGGGTCTCCTTACAGCCCAGCCCACCCTACCCCTCTGCCACATCCAGGCCATGTCTTGGGAGGCTGTTTGGGAAGCTGAAACCACAGAGAAGATGAAAATGCCTCAAGAGGTTGAGGGCAGGGAGAGGATCTGCTGATCCCTGGATCTCCCTGTGGTGGGAACACCCCTTCCATCCCATTCTCCCATCTTGCGTCCCCTGGTGGGGCTGTGCGTGAATCACACCCCGCCACTCCCCTCCCGCATCCCCGGCACCCTACTGCAAGTGACCAGAGAGAATGCTGAAACCCGAGTTATTTGCTGTCCTTTATTATTCAGAAGAGAGGCCGCCTCCACAAAACGAGGGGCCAGGTCTCCAAAAATATGGTTCTTCAAAGAAAACGATCCTACCTCGTAAACATTCGAGATGATGAAATCACGCTGGCTTAGTAGTAAGTAGTTGGGTTATTTGTCTCCCGTTATAATTTTTTTGGTGTGTTTTCTCTGTTTCTATTATAAAATTACGGCAACGCCATGAGTTTAACATCTCTTCAGCCCAAACACAATAGAAATGAGGCAGCAGCGGTGTCTAGCCCAGCTGCTGCCGTTGCTGCTAGCAAAGAAGTCTACAGTTTAGTCATTATGTTTTTTCGTTTTCTTGTATTTTACACACCAGTTCGATGGTTATCAGCACATGAAGAAGAGCTACCCGAACAAGATACAGCAAAGAGCTCTAGAGTTAAAAAGGAACACGCAACTCCTGGAAATCCAGCCATACAAAAGAAACCTCTCCTGGGGAAAGGAAGGGGAACGGGTTAGCCCCGGCTGCTAAGCCAGTGGGAACACGGGCAGAGAGGCCGCTTGGTCAATAATGAAAATAGTACTTTGCATGTCTCTAGCACCTTTCATTGAAGGATCTCAAAGTGCTTTACTCAGAGGCCGGATTTGTCTCCTGTTACTCGTGTTAAGTAAGCACCTTGCTCCACAAAAAATGCCACTGAAGTCAATGGGGTTTCTTGTGGCACTGGGGGACGACGCTATGTGACTTTGGGGATCCGAAACTGGTTCTTGTAGATTAAGCCTCACAACCTACCCTCCAGCGAGGGAGGGAAGTATTATTAGCCCCTTTTTACAAGTGTGGAAACTGAGGCACGGCGAGGTTCAGTGATTTGCCCAAAGTCACACAGTGAGTCAGTGGCAAAGTCAGCGATAGAACCCAGGAATCCTGGCTTCATGTCCTCTCTGCACTAACCATTAGACATGCTGCCTCCTCATCAGTTGAATGGCAACTATTGCCCCTCCACGCCACCACCCTGCTTATTATCAGCCAGTCAGTGCCACCATTGCTGTTAGCCAGCAGCATGAAACCCGTTCAGCTCCTCTTCCCTTCCTCTGCCAGGTTTGGAAGTGTCTTTGATTACAAAAAGAAGGAGAGAGAATATGAAAAAAAATACAAATATTCTTAACATGATTATTTCTGTCAAGATTGTCCAGCACTTTAAAGAGGGACTTTCATCGCAGGCAAAACTTTAGTTTGATGCATAAATACATTCCTTTTGTGGCTTTACATCTCCACATGACATTAGCTGCGTACATTGGTCACATGGCTGCCAATGCAGGAATGGGTACCAGGACTTCTGGGATGTTAGCTACCCCTGCCCCTTTGCTAGCCCGGATCTCCCAGCATGTCATGAATTCAGCCTGGGCTGGAAGTAGGAATATCCCTGTTGTACCAAAGAAGAATCAGAGTCCCACGGAGGTGCAGCAGTTTTCCTGAGGCCACACGGGGACCAGTGTGATGGTCAAAACTGAATCAGTTTCACTGAGAATTTTGGAAGTTGTGGAGCCAAACCCCAGCCTGGAGGGGGGTGGAAGGCCACCAGGGAGCAGGAGTTCAGAGGGCAGCTCCACGTCACAGACATGGAGGACCCCAGGGCTGGCCTCACCTTAACACCTCCACAGGTGACGAGTTTACTCTTTCCTGGTGGGGTTGCACACGTCCCCCTTCTGTTTCTTCCACTGTCCAGCAAGAGCCACCATGCCAAAGCTGAGACATCACAGTTGTAACCATGGCCACAGCCTGGGCTGTCACTGAGGCAGACTTCTGACAGGAGTGGGTGGACTAGTAAAACGCCCCTTGCCCCTTGAGTCCTGAATAGTTTTGTGCCCAAATGAGCCAAATTCTGTTCACTCTGCTGCCTGAGGGTTGTCACACTTGTAATTTGGGAGTGTTTGGCCAGGGGCTAGCGACACAGGATCCTAGTCACAATTTTAGCACAGGTTGGTGCAAAAGTTCATACCAGAAAGTTGGTTAATTTTTTTCCTCCTGTTGTGAATGGTTCCATCATGCAATCAGTGGAGCAGAAACAGCAGCAGTTTCAAACAGTTGTGAACCACCGGTATCACCCGAGCTATGGCCGAATAACAAATAGTGTATATTAGAAGGAATGGGGCTCTGGACGACGATCATTCATCCCATAGTTGGACTAGCTCTAGCTCGGACTTTGCCGGAGGCTCAGGAAGAGGCAGAGGAAGGGCTGCAGGTGAGAAACCGTTCCCATCAACACAGCTCAGCTCAAATACTGACATGGAAAGCTGCGTGTTTTCAAGTTTGCTTTGGCGCGAAAGTCCCCCTTTGCGAAAAGTATCCCTTTGGAATGTTTCCTTGCATCTGATTGGCTGAGAGCTGCACGGGTGGGGCACAAAAATAAAAAGACGCTGTCGCCCCTCCCACATCAATACGAGTTTGGTTTTTATTTCTGTAGTAAACCGGTAACTATTTCACCTAATGAGCGCAGATCGCTAAGGGCCGTCTCACCGTCTCTCTTGCTCTCTCTGCGTTTTTAAGTGACCTTTTCTTCCCCAGGGTCCCTTCCCCCACAGACCAATAAATAAACCTATTAGCACTTCCTCTGGGCTTTGAAGAACTGGCTCAGCTGCGAAGTGATGCCACAAAATGGGGGAACAAGAAAGAACCAAAAGTCCACCCAACCCTTTCCCCATCACCTGTAGGCCTTCTTCCGTCCTCCCGTCATGGTTTATTGTTAATTTTATAAAAATGTGCCCATCACAAATGTCTCTAGGCACCTGCACGTTATGTAGAAAAAACACCATAACACAATAACTATGTCAACCAAAGAAAAGACTCTTATGCCCTAAAAAATAGGTGAACTACTGTACAGAGCCTATCAGTCACCCCAATCAGGGAAGGTCTGAGAGAGTAGGTGGTCCTTACATCACGCCCACCAGGTTACGAACCTTGGGCTCTGTTGGCTGGATGGAAGCAGAAGTGAATGCGTGCGTTGAGAGCCTTCCCTGAGGCTGCCCCAATAGATTTTAAAACCATGAATAACCTAAGACTGAGAGTGACATCAATTATCAAGGTGGCACCCAAGGAGGTGGTTGCACCGGTAGTGAGGACCAAAACAACCCTGTGATTTATAGATTAGTAGTGACACCGTGAATCACACCTGGAAGCTCATGGGAATCTACTATAGCCTCTGGAAGAATAGGTGTAACGTTTTCACTGGGCCGGACACAGCTCATTACCAGGTTTCGCACCAGTGCTACAACCCAGATGATCTCCAAGGGACTGCCAGTGTAGAGTGCACGGCAGAAATCCAGTCTGGAGGCCATCAATGCCTGAATAACAATCAAGGTCCAAGTGAGATGGTCACAATCATCTGACTAGAGGCAGAAGAATAAAAGCTGCCAGTGATGCCTGAGATTGCGGGGGAGGCTGGAGTTCTGACAGCACCTCCAGTTTGGACCTGCACTAATAAAGGGTGGGAACAACCTTTCAGTAACCCCCAGCCATACACTTTAACTGGTACCCAACCTACCAGCATCATTGCGCCAGGAAATGGAGATGGCGCGCGACCTGCCACTGACATAACAAGGACATTGCTGTGGCCTGTAATGTCTCAGTCTCCTCTGCCCCTGGTGGCCTCATGCACAAACTGAACAGGACCTAATGGAATTGCAGCGTACCACACATGAACATGTCCTTCCGTCAATAAAGCAATTGCCCAGCATCACCTGCCCTGAGCAGACCTACGCCAGAGCCATCTCATCAGCCCTAGCTACGATCTTCAATAGAGTCAACCAACCCTCAAGGTCCTCAGCTCCAAAGGCTGCTGGCAGATCTACAAGGAACATGGTGATACCTGAACTTTGTCCATCACTAGGAACTCATCAGGCAGCAAGACTAGTGCAGCCTCCATGCCACAAATGGAAAGGAATCAAGGCAACCTATGGACTCTACATGACACCCAAGGTGTCCTCCCACAGTCTCTTCAGTGATCTCATCTAAAAAAGGGTAGATTAGAGCAAGGCCAGTGAGACTGACAGCGTCAAGCGAGGACGGCGTGTGCATGGACCTAGTGAGGACCGCTAATGAGAGGCAGCTGGCCTCGTCAGTAGGCGTTAATGATCTCACCCAACAATGGACACAGTGTTCCCTGCCCCCCACCCCAGCTCTGAGGGTTCCAGAACATCACAAGGGAAACTGAATAGATGTTGTCATCACCCAGGGCAACGTGCCATGTGACTCCACCACCCAGCCGGGCATGAGTGCAGCAAGGCAGCCTAGACATCACTAAATGCAGAGCTCCCATGGTCTAGGGGAGCACACCCTCTACCTGGTTTCACCCTAGTATCCCCCCTCGCATTCCCCCACCTACACGTCCTAGTACCCGACCCGATACCTAACCATCCACTTAGCACCGAGACACCCCAGCACTCACCCTATCATGCCATTCACCTACCCAGTCACCACCCCAGGCACCAGCCTACCCAGTGGTCTCAGTACCTAACTCAGCCATCCACCCAGCTGCCCCTGCAGCCACCCCAGGCACACGTGCACCAATCAGTCCCAGTACCCAGCCCTGACACCCTCTCCCTCAATCAGGTCTGGACCCCTTAACCCTTCCCCCCATCTATCAGTCTTGGCACCCACCCCAAGGACCTTCACCCTCCCATCTATCATCCACAGCACCCTTGCAACTACCCCACTCGCCCTACCGAGCAGCCATCCTCCCACCCAATGGCCTCAGCACCTATTCCACCATCTAGCCAGCTGCCTCAGCACTCAACACACCCACGGTGGGCAGAGCAAGGTGTGTGTGTGTGTGTTGGGGGGGGCAGAGTCCCTTCAAGCAGCCAGCTTTTGGCACTGCAGCCCTGTGTGTGACGGGGGGTGTGTGGGTGGGCTGGGAACAGTGAACTTGTGACAGGAGCCCGGCTTGGAGGGGGGACACACTTTTTTTGCGAGGGGGGGGGCTGTGTGGCAAAGGTGAACCATTTTATGGCGCCCCAGTAAGAGGAGTGGCTGGGGGGGGGGGAACCAGCGACATGGGGCTGGGGAACAATGGTGAGGAGCCCAGGCCTCAGCAGGGGAGCAGCCATGGTGCCCTGGAAAGAGGGTCCCAGAGGGCCATGCATAGCAAGGGGGCAGCTGTACTGGCCCAGGGATTGGGGAGAGCTGGCTGGCATGTACCAGCCGCCTGCCTAGAGTCTAGTTCAGGGCCTGAGCGCTGTGTTTCTGCCAGCGGGGGAATCAGGGACCAGCCCCATGCGCAGATGGGGGGCCGGGAGGGCAACTCTGGAAGCGCCTAGTCTCTGCGGGGCTCCCTGGCCAGCAACCTGGGCAGTGACTCCAAGGGCGATCAGCCGGAGCCAGAGCCCCGGTGCTGCTCTGCCTATGGCCCTACAGTGCCACCCGGTGGAGGCTCTGCAGCTGTGCGGGCGCTCTTGCCGGGCCCATGGCTTGGGCGCCAAAGCAGACGGGCAGTTTCCAGCTAGCTCTCTAGCAGGGTCTAGCGAGGCCGATGCTTAATTCACCACAACCCCCCCCCCCCCGGCTCAGCCCTGGCGGGAATGGAGAGTAACAGGCCCTTCAAAGGGGCAGAGGAAGGGCCGGGGCAGCTCGGAGCCCTGGGGCTGCGTGACGTGCTGGGCAGCAGGCAGGGTCATGCGGGGAGTGCGGGCCATGGGCTGCTCCTGGCTAGGCTGGTGCCAGCCGCTCCCAGCAGGGGGCGGTGTAGGCAGTGGTGTAGCAGCAGGCCTGGCGCGCTCACAGCTAGGCCAGTCTGGCCCCCTGCTTGTGGGGAATGGTGGGCGATGGGCATGTGGGGGTGGGATGTGTCCACAGCGTTCCCATGCCCCAGCGCTCTGGCGTTCTTCAACACCTAGCAGGGGCGTCTGGGTGACATTAGTTCTTTTGTGCCCGTTCGTAGGCGAGGTGCAGCCCCTTTGCCCCAGTGTCGTACTGCCAGGAAATGAGCAGCAATGCCCAGAACGGTGGGGGGTGGGGAACAGAGCACCCAAGGTGCCCAGTCAGCTGCTCCGGCGGACGTGGCCCAGTGGGGCGCTTGGTATGGGCTCAAATGGGCCACCAGGAAATGGCCGCCTGCTACCGCAGCCCATGCAGGAGACCCCATCATGGGGTGGCATCACATTTGGATTGAGGAGGAGGGGCCATATCCAATCCCACAGCTAGGGGGAGACAGATAGCAAGTGGGAAACCTTCACAGACAGCACCTCTGAGGCCTAGGGCAGATTGGGTGCTGGAGGGGTGGGCAGCGTATGGTGAGGGTGTGGGGCGTCTGGGGTCAGGTTGGGGGATGGGTGCTGGAGAGGTGGGCTGTGTATGGTGGGGGTGTGGAGCGTCTGGAGTCGGGTTGGGGGATGGGTGCTGAAGAGGTGGGCTGTGCATGGTGAGGGTGTGGGGCGTCTGGGGTCGGGTTGGGGGATGGGTGCTGGAGGGGTGGGCTGTGCATAGTGAGGGTGTTTAGGGTTGGGATGGGTGCTGGAGGGGTGGGCTGTGCATGGTGAGGGTGTGGGGTGTCTGGGGTCGGGTTGGGGGATGGGTGCTGGAGGGGTGGGCAGTGTATGGTGAGGGTGTGGGGCGTCTGGAGTCGGGTTGGGGGATGGGTGCTGGAGGGGTGGGCTGTGCATGATGAGGGTGTGGGGTGTCTGGGGTCGGGTTGGGGGATGGGTGCCGGAGGGGTGGGCAGTGTATGGTGAGGGTGTGGGGCATCTGGAGTTGGGTTGGGGGATGGGTGCTGGAGGGGTGGACTGTGCATGGTGAGGGTGTGGGGTGTCTGGGGTCGGGTTGGGGGATGGGTGCCGGAGGGGTGGGCAGTGTATGGTGAGGGTGTGGGGCGTCTGGAGTCGGGTTGGGGGATGGGTGCTGGAGGGGTGGGCTGTGCATGGTGAGGGTGTTTAGGGTTGGGATGGGTGCTGGAGGGGTGGGCTGTGCATGGTGAGGGTGTTTAGGGTTGGGATGGGTGCTGGAGGGGTGGGCTGTGCATGGTGAGGGTGTTTAGGGTTGGGATGGGTGCTGGAGGGGTGGGCTGTGTACGGTGAGGGTGTGGGGTGTCTGGGGTTGGGTTGGGGGATGGGTGCTGGAGAAGTGGGCTGTTTGTGGTGAGGGTGTCTGGGGTCTTGTTGGGGGATGAGTGCTGGAGGGGTGGGCTGTTTCGGGGTCCATATGCCTAGGAGCGTGGCAGTGTTTGGGAGCTGGGACATTCTCTCAGTTTGAGCAGGATGAGGCCCTCAGCAGCCAGAGGGAGGTGTCTACAGTCAAGCTCTCATTAGCCCTAAAGCCGAGCCCAGTTTGGCTACCGATCCATCTGTTATGGCTTCCAATCCCGTATGCAACAGAGTGGTCACGAGGGGAGACCCTGTCTGGTGGCCGGCTCCTTCCGCCTCCCTCCCTATCAAGCATCAACTGGCAGCAGAGACTGGCCCCACTCCCCCTGTGGCATCAGTTCCTTCAAACGCCACGCACCAGCCAATTAAAAAACCCCACCTCCCACACTGGAACCACCACCGTCCTGTGGGATCAGGGGTTGCTTCCCAGGCAGGGCAGAGAGCGAGAGAGACGTGAGCAGCCCGCACGCAAACATGTGACACTTACAACACGCTTATACACACACACAGCAAACGCACAGGAGGCTGTTGGAGTGACGCGGCTTCCCCCAGCCCTGGCCAGGATGGGATTCTAGCCGCTATTACTTATATTATTCTTATTACTCTTACAAGTTTTATTGAATTAAAAATAAATGACCTCAAGGAGACGAAAGGCGCGTCCCCCTTGCCAGCCCCCCTCCTAGGCCCACGCGCCCCCTAGGAGAAGCTGGCATCCTCGGGGGACCGCTCCCAACGGGCCTTGGGCTGGAAGAACTCGTAGGAAGTCTCGTGTGGCGGAGGCGTCTCCTCCTCTCACCACCTCACAGAGCCAGTCGCGCCAACACCACTTCCCCTCCCCCCAGGGCCAAAACAAACCAGCGCCGAGGCTTCTTCCCACCTAGAGGGCTGGCGTCTCTCTCTCGGCGTAACGAGTCAGAAGGAAAGGTTAAAGCAGGAAGTCGGGCACTAAAGATGCTCCCATTGGTGCCGGGCGCTCCGTGGACACAGCGGGCGGCCAACGCTGCTTCCCAGAGTTTGGAAACGTCGCCAACTTCACACCCTCAGCTCCTTGTCAGCCCCGAGCTCATCCCCTAGGGGGATCCCCAGGTGCCTCCGTTGTGCATAAAGTAGTGAGAGTATGGCCAAGAAACGTCGACTCCGAGCGGTGAAAGCCAGAAAGAATTCTCAGCCGCTGCCGCTCAGGCCTTCAGCTGGTGCCACTGTGCCACGGCCTGCCGGGGATGGGAGATCATATCCTTCCAGTGCTTCACCTCGCCGGGGCCACTCTTCCAGGACAGGTAAATCTACAGGGAGAGAAACCCGAGAGTCACTGACTCCTCCTCCTTGTGTGCCTGGGCCACAGCTCAGCTCTGCACCACCCCCTTCCAACACTGCAGCTAGGGTCACCTTCCTTCCTGCTGCACTGACTCCATTGGCCTCCCTTTAGCTCACTGGATTCCTGCTCAGAGACTTTAAAAGCCAGAAGGGAGCATCATGATCATCAAGTCTGACCTGCTGCACGTTGCAGGCCATAGGACTTCACCCACCCAATCCTGCAATAGACCCCGAACCTCTGGCTGAGTTACTGATGTCCTCAAATCTTGATTTAAAGACTTCAAGGTCCACCATTTACACAAGTAAAGTCCTGCTCTGGCTCCTCATCCAAACCCTTGCAGCCTTGCCCATGACCGTATCTCTCTTCTCGTTGTCCTGCTCCCAGCATGTTCCTTCCTATTCTATTGCTGCCCTCCCTCTTTGTACACTAAGTTCTGTGGCCCCACGCCTCGACCTGCCTCCCAGCTCTTGTCCCCCAAGCCAGCCCCCTGCCCTTGTTGGAATTAGCCTGATGGACCGGCAAGAGAGGCGTGGCCAGGGTAGCAAGGTGGTGGGCTGGTGGGTCTGGGGGAGAAGAGGACCAGCTAGCTGTGCAGGCCCACTGGTGAACAGGAGGGGTTGCAGCCGCCGGGGAGGTGCCCTTGAGATGTTCTGGCTATCTGGAGATGACCCATGCTCTGAAGCAGACAGATATTCAGCGGGACGTGAGCATGGGCGCCAGATTTGTATAATTTTTGGTGGTGCCCAGAACCCCTTCCCCAAGCCTCACCCCGCCACTTTCTGGCTTCCGCCCCCTCCCCCGAGCGACACTGGTAGCCGGCAGGGCAGGGCAGGCTGCTTACTGCTGCCGGCACCAGGCCCCCTGCTAACGACACAGGCTGCCCTAGATCCCATGTCCCCCTGAAGTGCCAGGTCCCCCAAAGCGCAGTAAGCCCAAACATTGGTGGAGCCGAGTCCACGTTCCTAAATATTGGTGGAGCACGGGCACCATGGGCCCATATAATTTGCCACCTACGGACGTGAGGCTGTGTCACTAACACGACACCTCTACTTTGCTAACCACTGGCAACACCGTTCAGAGAAAAGCACCTACCACCTGCCAGTTCCAGGCAATTAGGCACAGTGCAGAGAAGCTCTGCAATTAGGCACCAGGTTCCTCTTTGGGGCATGCATCTCTGGCCACTAAATCTCAACCCTTCTCCTCCTTGGGCCTCTCATCCACAGCCCCGTTCCATGGACCTCTGGTGATAACATCAGCTGCATCCCTCCTCTGCCAAGCAAATTTGATGGAGGCGTCAGAATTAGCTACAAGGCAATGCAAGTGAGTGAAAACCCCTCCGCACAGGCTGGGTTATTTTTATCTGCCGATTTTCTATACAGCCACATTGAAAATGTGCGTGTCAACCCTCCTGCATGCTGACAGCTGAGACATGTGTTCCAGATGCACTAATGGAGACTTGTGATTGTCACTCAAAGTAACAGGATTTCATAGCTTGACTTAAGGTATGCTATATACTGGTAATTATTCAATCAGAAGTTATTATCATGTTGCCAGCAGCAGAGCTGTGGTTGAGGTTGTAGAGGGCAATCTATTTTCAGTCTCGGGCTGCAGTTGCCTGGAACATACTTGACAATTTTCCTTTGCAAGTTTCTTTCAAGTTCTTTGCTCTATTGCTTGGAACTTTCTCAACGAATTTCCTTTAGTAATGAAATGTCTCTCTCTCTCTTGCCCTGCCTGCTGTACCACACTTGATCTACCTACCTACCTTTTGACACAGACATGCCCAGGCAGGTATATTACATCTGTGTCCAACTGTCCTCCAGATATTTCAACCAAGGGGTCTTGTGGACTCTAAAAGCTAAGAATGAGCTAATTATCATGGTTATTGCAGGATGTTTGTACATAGGGTGACCACTCATTCATTTCTTGAATACTGGATATTTTGCGAATGGCATGGGCCTGATCCCGCTGGTGTGACCCCACACCTGCCGGCGTGAGGGTGCATGCGAGGTCCCACCAGCAGGGGCGGAGTGGCGCACTCTTCAAAATGGTGTCCTCTGTCTGATAACGGACAAAACCACATCCGGTTTTGTCTCAGTACTGGATGCGGGACAAACCGCCCACAAAGAGAACTGCCTGGTTCAGAACTGGACACCTGGCCTCCTAGCCGTATGGGGAATAATTGTAGCGTTATATCACTTGTAGAATATTGGGTTCCAAAGCTATTGGAGGTAAAACTTGTCGCCTGAGGCAGGATGGGTCTCCAGAGCGGACTCAATCAACCCTGAGAACAACGGACATCCACCGACCCAGCCCAGCTCTGGGTTTGCAGCCTGCAGCAGATGCAGGCTTGAGCACTGAGACAGACAAAAGAACGCCAAGGAAAAACTGTGAGTAGGGGACCATCAGGACTGAGCTGATGTTAATGAAATGCCCCGATTCTGAACTGAGACAAATGTCTGTGGCTGTACAAGGGAAGGAAAAAGGGCCAGCAGAAGTTCAGGCTCAAGGCATGTACAACGTACACTGACAGACCTATCCTAAAGGCTGGAAGGCAATACGGTTAGAGACAGGAGAGAAAAAGGAGACATTTTGTTGGTTTCTGTCTATTTCGGGAGAGGGCCACAGAACAAAGGCCAGTGCACAGTGGCCATGAAACACATTGCAGACGGACTCCACGGCAGTCAGAGCAGCTGCGTGCCCAATGTGGATCAGCTGCTGCAGGAACGAGGTTTACGCTCATGGAACAAGTTGTAGGGAGAGCGGCTAGATCCCTCGGGAATGAATGAAAATGTGGGGAATGCAGATCTGGGTGCGACTCCCAGCAACAGGGGCCAGCCTGGCACAGCCCTCAACAAAGCAGCCTTTCAGCTGGAGATGGTGTCACGTAGTCACAGGCTGGGTGCTCTGGAACTGCTCTGAATGAAGTCAGACAAGACTCTAGAGCAGCGTGTCTCCCCTGAGGGCACACTCTCACCAGGGCACACCTCCTTGGCTCCAGCGCCTCCTGGGTCTGACCTCGGAGCGTTCAGTGCCCCTGTTCACACCGTGAGCTTCCCGCAGTGAGTCCACCTGGATGGGACACCTGGGGAAGCCCTATACGCTCCAAAAGGGGCCGTGCATCCCCACTCTGCAGTCAGCAGTAGAAAACAGAAGGGCTTATTTGTCGTCGGGAACACAGCATAGAACAGAGTTTGTTAGCACAGAAATTAGGAACTTTCAGCAAAGTCCATCCTGGAGGGCAGGGGGTAATCCCGAGCCCAGAGCTTTCCCCTCTTCAATCCCCCAACCACAGACTAACCAGCTTCCAGCAGCCCAGCCTCTGTCACACCCAGTTTGCCCCTCCTCCGGCCTTTGTCTCTTTCCTGGGCAAACGGGTCACCTGGCCTCCACCCGGCGCTTTGTTCTCCAACATCTCTGGCTTGCTCTTGCAGAGGATGGGCCCTGGCAATCAGCTGCCAGCATACTGAGTGTTGGCCATTGTCTGAGCCCAGGCAGTCACACCTGGGGGGTCTCTGTAATGATTACACACCCTTGTCCCACCACCTAGAAGTAGACACTTAAGTAACACATGGGGGAAACTGAGGCACACACAGAGTATTTTGACAAACCATTAAGAACATTCCCACTTCATCCCAGATGACCAGATCGGAGTTGGTGAAATTGGAAAAGGAATGAGAGCACCAGAGGTGGATCGAGGAGAGAGGCTGCAAGAGAGAGAAAGCAGTCCAGGAAGCTGCCCATTGGAGACTGATGGTGCTGAAAGCATGAACACAGGTGAGCAGGAGCTTAGAGTGCTGGAATTACAAAATAAGAGCCCTCAATCCAGGGGTAGTGCCCCGCTCCCCAGGGATCAACCAGCTATGAGAAGCGATGCCCAAGCTGCAGGGACAGGCAGTCTATAGAGGAGCATCTGATTACCTTTGAGAGGATTCACAGAGTACACCAGATTCCTGGTGCACAAAAATGACTGTCTTGCTTCTCAAACTCTCTGATAAAGCCTTACACGTGTTTAATTATATGGATCTGTGGGAGGCTCTGGTTTATGATCGGTGCAAGGAAACTATTGAAAATGTTTCAAATCCCCCGAGGCATATCGCCTACAGTTTAGAAACCTCAGCAAACATGATCAGATGAGTCATGGGAACTATGTTTATAAAATGGGATTATTTAAGCAAGTGGCTAAGGGGTAAAGGGGCAGAGGGTTGTGAAAAGCTGGTCGACATGTTTGTTCACGAGCCATTCTTTGATGCCTGCAGCACTGATGAAGTAAGGGCTGCAGTGTGGGATAAAACCCCAATGACTGTAAAAGATGGAGCTGATCTATAGGTGCAAGACCATTTGTGGAGCGCATGCCACAGAGGGATGGGCAACATCCCGGCATAAAGGAAGGTCCCTGATTTGTCCTGGGGAAGAAGGCAGGAGAGGTAGGTCTAAATTCATACCACCCCAGAAATGGTCCCCTCCTGGCAACATCAATAACAGGTTCCCAGTCCAGTGGGATGGTCCCAGAAGCTGTTACCTGTTTGAGTCTAGTGAATGCATGAGGAAGCAATGTGCTTCCTACGTGGAATCCCAATGCCAACCCTGAACTGGGCAGTTTAAGGAATCCCCGGTCCAGAGCCCCCCAGGGTCCGTGAGAGGGTCCCAGTTAATTTTGTCCAGTTTGACCTACTGGAGGTGGACAAAGATGCCAAGGTAAACAGCAGAATGTGCCGAGGCTGGAGGGACACAGGGGTCCATGACCCACTTGTCAAGGAGGATATGATTAAGGAGTCTGATGTGCTCCCAGGAGAGAGGGTAAAGCCCTTGGCCCTGGGGTAATCCAAAACCATAGAATCATAGAATATAAGGGTTGGAAGGGACCCCAGAAGGTCATCTAGTCCAACCCCCTGCTCGAAGCAGGACCAATTCCCAGTTAAATCATCCCAGCCAGGGCTTTGTCAAGCCTGACCTTAAAAACCTCTA